GAATGAAGCAGTTCTCCATAGTAATGCATGGTGTGTTTTTAAAAATGAGAAAAATGGCAATATATTGCCTTGCTCATAGTATCACAATATTTTGCAATATTTCATATCGTATATGTATCATATCACCAAATTCTTACCAGTATTCATCCCTACTGATCAGTGAGACAAACGAAAGATTTTAGTTGAAAATGCTTTAATATTAAAGACTCAGATCTACAACAACCAATCATGAGTGAGCAGGAACTGGTCCATTAGGTGTTATCAGACAGATGAGTCTGTCCAGGTGCAGGACAGAACCTGGAGACCAGTTCTGCTCAGGTCTGGGTCAAAGGTTGAGTCTGTGTACATTTTATTTCTTCAGCACATTAAAAACAGAAACAAAACACAGCATAGCAAACATTCAAACAACTAAAATAAAACAGAAAAACCATCGGCTCCATCGGGTCTCAGGCTCTTTGAAAAGCAAAGATGGGTTTTTAAGTCTTAACGGTCTCAGAGGTCCTCGTATAAAAACTGTTCCACAGGTTGGGAGCAGCAGAACCCGTTCACCGTATGGTTAGTTTGGATCCTGATAAAGAAAAACTGGGTAGAGGACCAGAGAGCTCTTCCTGGACTGCAGAGGTTCAGATGTTCGTGGTTCAGGACTCTGGAGTTCTGGGTCGTATCTTCATCTCAGTGAACCTGAGGGAGTACTGCCAGCCGGTCCAGCTGGACCACTCCACGCCGTCAGCATAGGAGGCGTGGCCTCCTCTCAGGTACTGCCCGTTTAGGTTGGAGGTGTGGCAGTTCCGGTACCACCACGCCCCCTGATAGTAAGCCGCACAGTTGTTCTCGGACTGGTCCTGGTCCCGGTCTTTGGTGGTGAACCTCATCCCAGAGTGCTTCAGAAGGGAGTCCCCTGGAGGATGCACAGGACAAGAGTTAGTACTGCATCAGTAGTACCATGTAAGTGCTGTTAGTACTGTGTTAGCACCATGTTAGTACTGTGTTAGCACTATGTTAGTACTGTGTTAGCACTATGTTAGCACTATGTTAGCACTATGTTAGTACAATGTTAGTACTGTGTTACCACTATGTTAGTACTGTGTTAGCACAATGTTAGTACTATGTTAGCACTATGTTAGTACTGTGTTAGTACAATGTTAGTACTGTGTTAGCACAATGTTAGTACTGTGTTAGCACTATGTTAGTACTGTGTTAGCACAATGTTAGTACTATGCTAGCACTATGTTAGTACTGTGTTAGCACTATGTTAGTACTGTGTTAGCACTATGTTAGTACTATGTTAGCACTATGTTAGTACTGTGTTAGCACAATGTTAGTACTGAGTTAGCACAATGTTAGTACTGTGTTAGCACTATGTTAGTACTGTGTTAGCACAATGTTAGTACTGTGTTAGCACTATGTTAGTATTGTGTTAGCACTATGTTAGTACTATGTTAGCACTATGTTAGTACTATGTTAGCACAATGTTAGTACTGTGTTAGCACAATGTTAGTACTGTATTAGCAGTTTGTTTGTACTATGTTAGCACTATGTTAGTACTGTGTTAGCAGTGTGTTAGTACTGTGTTAGCACAATGTTAGTACTGTGTTAGCACTATGTTAATACTGTGTTAGCACAATGTTAGTACTGTGTTAGCACTATGTTAGTACTATGTTATCACTATGTTAGTACTGTGTTAGCACAATGTTAGTACTGTGTTAGCACAATGTTAGTACTGTGTTAACAGTGTGTTAGTACTGTGTAAGCACAATTTTAGTACCATGTTAGCACTGTGTTAACTTAGTACAGTGCTAGTTAGTACCTGCTGTCCCAGAGTACCCGTCCACAGTCAGTGGGTACCCATCCTCCTCTGGGTTTACTGAGTCTCGTCCCACAGAAAACTCGGAGTACTGAGCGAACGCTGTGGCGTTGTCAAAGTCAGCCATGTCGATACGTAACTCGAAACCACCGGACCTGGTGAGGGCGTAGATCCTCTGCAGACCTGAGAGATGGACAGATGGACAGAGATTCAGACAGACAAACAGAGTCAAAGTACTCCATCCTGTCCCCTACATTCAGAATATTTGTCTCCAGAGTCCTACGGTTCCCACAGATAAAAAGACACACCCAGCCAGTGCTCTCCTGTGATGGTCCCAAAGCCATCTCTGTAGGCCTCCCAGCCTCTGAAGAAGTTAACTGAGCCGTCCTCCCTCCTCTGAATCACCTGCGCCACACAGAGACACCAGTGGACACGTCAAACCAAAAACCAGTAAAAACCACAAAGTGAAAGAACAAGAAAAACTGTTCAAATTAAAACATTTGAAGTTGCAATTTTTATTGTGACCAGTAGGGGCGCTGCTGCTCTGTCTTTATATACTCCTGTCCTGAAGTGTCTGTCTTTATATACTCCTGTCCTCAAGTGTCTGTCTTTATATACTCCTGTCCTCAAGTGTCTGTCTTTATATACTCCTGTCCTCAAGTGTCTGTCTTTATATACTCCTGTCCTCGGGTGTCTGTCTTTATATACTCCTGTCCTGAAGTGTCTGTCTTTATATACTCCTGTCCTCAAGTGTCTGTCTTTATATACTCCTGTCCTCAAGTGTCT